GCACTGCACCTTCGGGATTCGAACCCGAGCCGAGAAACTGCGCCTCGGACCATTTTGAAATTAGACCATTCGCCAACTACAACTGTCAAACGCGATAGTCAAAGTACTTTAGCTTGATATGACTTCTCACTATAACTACAAGTACATGGTGTCATGGTCGTTTTTCATCCGTGTGCCGTGGAATCCGCACGTAGATTCGTGAGGCCACTCCAACATTCATTTATAAGTGGCCAATAGTTTATTTAGTCTATTTTATAACACACATAACGCCGGCACGCACAGTATAATACATGGATAATACAAGGATAAAACAGATGATAATTATACAGGGAGGATAATCAATACTAATAATCTCAAGATGCAATGTGTGTGTGTGTGTGTGTGTGTGTGTGTGTGTGTCTGTCTGTGTGTGTGTGTGTGTGTGTGTGTGTGTGTGTGTGTGTGTGTTTGTGTGTGTGTGTGTGTGTGTGTGTGTGTGTTTCTGTGTCTGTCGACTGTCTGATCAAGTATTACTATTAGATACGTGAGGGGCACTCGGAATTAAATTGCGGTCTGTTTGGACTGAGTGACTTCATACTTTCGCACCGGTTTAACTACAAAAATGTAATGCATGTTTTCGAATATAAATAGGCGGGTTTATAATTATACTTTTGGCTTTGCATTTCAAGTTCAACTGCGATAGTGAAGTCCCGGCCGTAGGCACGGGTTACACTAGTGTCTAGTACCAATATAATTCCTATAGTGGAGCTGGTTTTGATTATTATCATTGTGATAGTATCTTTACAGTTTAGTAATCAGTGCTGTGAAGCTCGAATTCTGGCTGATAGTGATCATGATTATTGATAGAAGCTCAGCCAACACCATACAAGTACAACCATCAGTATCACTGACACTATATGATCGTTTTAAATCATTTTTTTCGCCACTTAGTGAAACGACAATGGGGGTCACGACGTGATACAAGAAATTCCTTTAAATTCGATCATGATCAACCCGATAATCTACTTCATCAGAAAGAAGCAGATCAGGGATTATGCAAAATCTATCCTTTTCGGTCTGGTATACCCCGTACAATAATTTCATTTTCACAATTTCACTATTTCACTATTTTAGTATTTTCCATGTTTGACCTTCTCACTTTCTATATTTCTTGCACAAGCAGATGTAACTATGATTTTCGACCGATGATTTCAAAATACAAAATAAAAGATTGTGTATTTCTGTCTAAAACAACAATAGGTTTAAAAATGAAATCATATTACATGGATTGAAGTGTTCTGTATAAATCTCACCATCTCATGTAATTTTAATACTATCATTAAAATCATTGCAATATTGGATACCACATTACTTGACAGTGTGATTGGTGCGAGCCATTATATGCGGAAAAATAACATAATTGTTGTTTAAAATTTGGCATTCTTGATTACCAAATATTTCCAAATTTTTACGAATACGATTTACCATGTACTTGAAGTACTTATCTAGTAGCAGGGAGGGGTTGAGTGTGCACTTCGATGTACAGAGTTTTTTGATACTGAATCGGGTTAATTAGGTCATTTGTAACTCAAATCACCGAGGGGCACATTTTGTGTCGCTAGTCCCAACCCTGTGGGGGCCACGCCCATATTTCACATTAGGCGCATATATGGGAAATATGTATTTCAGGTTCTGAGGGTCTTAGAGACTCAAACTTTGGCTTAAAATGACCGCAATGCACATATTCATATTGACACTATGAAGGGTATAAAGTCCCAAAATGCTTACTTTTGGACAAAATCCAGAAAAACCGATTTTCACTGGGGCGAGAGTGAAAAAAAATCTACTCTAGAAGCTTATTGACATCGAGTATGCAGTTTGGTGTCTACAACTTTTCTAGAAACCAGGTCTTTTGTAAGGTCATTCTGGATCAGAATTGATAAGGTACACAATTTCTATCAGTAATCCCAACCCTAGGGGGAAATTTCTAAATTACCCTCAGGCGCAAATATATGACTTTTGTATCTCGGCTTCTGAACGTTGTGGGGGCCTCTCTTTTATCTCAAACTAACTGCAAATGCCACATTTATATACAAGCTATAAAGCAACATAGGGTTTATATTGCTTAGTTTTGGAGATATTCATTAAAAACTGTTTTAACTTTCGTGCATCCTAAATTAGTAACACATGTACTTAATTTTGGTATCCCGGGCTAAAAAAGTCTTACAGACACTTCACTTGCAGCACAGCAAAATGTTCAGCATGAACACATTCAGATAATATTTATGGAGCAACACAATTTAGTTTCAGAAGCTCCTTCCAGCTATCTTATCTTATCCACAAATGTATACATCTAACCATCTCTCTGGCTACTTCAAACCACTTCAATCCCCAAATTTATACATCTAACCATCCCTCTGGTTGCTTCCATCTCGTTAAAGCCAAGGATCGACCGAGACTGCTTTTTTGGCCGGGACTGGGAAAAAGTGCCGGGACCGGGATTAAGACCGGGACCGGGATTAGGGACCGGGATTAAGCCGGGATCCCGGTCTTACCACAAGTTGGGCTCTCTCCAGTACTGTCTGGCTATTATGGCTAATCACCTCCAATCCAACCTCATGTAGTAGAATCTACTTCTAGTTTCCTTCAATTCTGCTACCTCCATTCTAGCTCTTTCTAGCAATCTCTGAATGCTACTTCCTGCTCTATCTAGCTTCCACCAACACCCAATAATTGTTGTTATGCTACAACTAGCACTGCAAATTCTAGCAACCTATCCAGCAACCTCAGACTTACTCCTACTCTGTTCAGCTATCGCCAGCACCTGCAAATTCTAGCACTATCCAGCAACCTCAGACTACTTTCTGCTCTATCCAGCTAACACTAGCAAACGGTACCCACAAATTTTAGCTTCTTCTAGTTACTTCGGGCTACATCCATACTTATTTAGTTTAATGAGCACTCTCAAAGTCTATCTGTTTTACCTAATTCAGGCTACCTCCAGGCTCCAGCTAGAACTTTAGTGTGCTTGTGCTATCTGGATATAGCATAATGTAGTGAGAGTTTGCTGGATAGGGCTAGAGTTTGCAGGTGCTAGTGGTTACTGAACAACAATTATTGGGTGTTGGTGGAAGCTAGATAGAGCAGGAAGTAGCATTCAGAGGTTGCACTTGCTAGAAATAGCAGGTTTCCTCTTCCTCAATGAACTGGAAATTGTTGAATGCAGCTGAGGCAGCCGGAAAGAGCCAGAATAAATTGTTGCTGGTGGTTTTATAAAAGGCAAGAGGTAGCTTCAGTTAAGTTTGCTAGAAAGAGCAGAGGTTGGGGGCCAGGGGGCCTTGCAGTAGTAGCTAAATAGATGTAGCCGAAGTAGGTGAAAAGAGCTGGAGTTGGTGGTTTCTGCCCACTGGTGGTACCTGTATAGAGCAGGAGGTAGCATTCAGATTTCAGAGGTGGCTAGAAAGAGCTAGAATTATAACGTGCTGGTGGTAGCTGGGTAGAATAGGCATGGCATGGAGGTAGCAGAATTGAAGGCAGTAATCGACCGGGATTCCCGGCGCCGTGAAATCCCGGCACCGGGGGAGCTATTTCTTCCCGGCCCCGGCCGATTTTCAATTTTTTCCGGGAATTTGGCCGGGAATTTTTGATCGAAATCGGCCTAAAACTTTCATATAAATCTTAAAATGGATTTTCAATTTTGAAAGGATGATGTCCAGAGTGCCAACTTTCAAGAGCAGTCCTTTGTTTTTGTAACCTCTGATAGTTTTATATTGTCATGTAAAAATAAGTTCAGATCCTAAGTCCTGAAAAGTTCTAACTTGGCCGTGGATTTATTAAATTCACGGCCCCGGCCCCGGCCCCGGCCCCGGCCCCGGCCCCGGCCCCGGCCAAATTCCAGAACGGCCAATTCCCGGCCCCGGCAAAATTTGGACATTCCCGGCCCCGGCCCCGGCCAAATCCTACCCCCGGTCGTTTACTGATTGAAGGAAACTAGAAGTAGATTTGACATCATGAGGTTGGATTGGAGGTGATTAGCCATAACAGCCAAACAGTACTGGAGAGAGCCAAACTTGTGGTAGATATAACGAGATAGTTAGATGTTCATGTATAAATTTGGGGATTGAAGTGGTTTGAAGTAACCAGAGAGATGGTTAGATGTATACATTTGTGGATAAGATAAGATAGCTGGAAGGAGCTTCTGAAACTGAATTGTGTTGCTCCATAAATATTATCTGAATGTGTTCATGCTGAACATTTTGCTGTGCTGCAAGTGAAGTGTCTGTAAGACTTTTTTAGCCCGGGATACCAAAATTAAGTACATGTGTTACTAATTTAGGATGCACGAAAGTTAAAACAGTTTTTAATGAATATCTCCAAAACTAAGCACTATAAACCCTATGTTGCTTTATAGCTTGTACATAAATGTGGCATTTGCAGTTAGTTTGAGATAAAAGAGAGGCCCCCACAACGTTCAGAAGCCGAGATACAAAAGTCATATATTTGCGCCTGAGGGTAGTTTAGAAATTTCCCCCTAGTAGGGTTGGGATTACTGATAGAAATTGTGTACCTTATCAATTCTGATCCAGAATGACCTTACAAAAGACCTGGTTTCTAGAAAAGTTGTAGACACCAAACTGCATACTCGATGTCAATAAGCTTCTAGAGTAGATTTTTTTCACTCTCGCCCCAGTGAAAATCGGTTTTTCTGGATTTTTTCCAAAAGTAAGCATTTTGGGACTTTATACCCTTCATAGTGTCAATATAAATATGTGCATTGCGGTCATTTTAAGCCAAAGTTTGAGTCTCTAAGACCCTCAGAACCTGAAATACATATTTCCCATATATGCGCCTAATGTGAAATATGGGCGTGGCCCCCACAGGGTTGGGACTAGCGACACAAAATGTGCCCCTCGGTGATTTGAGTTACAAATGACCTAATTAACCCGATTCAGTATCAAAAAACTCTGTACATCGAAGTGCACACTCAACCCCTCCCTGCTACTAGAGTAACTATACATTTTGGAAAACCCAATATATTGCAATGATATTCTTTAAGGCATTCAAGTTGATTATAATTTAGATTTACTTTCTCAAAATAAATCAGTATTTATTAAACTACTTAAAATTGTACACGTACAAATTACATGAAATATCAAATTTTCAATAAAAATTTGTGAAACACACATACAAAATTGAACGAAAATTCTATCAATAAAACCCTGTTTGGATAATGGGTATAACATAAACTGAAAAAGAGATCAATATTCAGATCATCAACAAAATCAAAGCCGTAAAGGCCACATGACGCCTCATAGTGTCTTCATGACGTCACGTGTCTTCATGACGTCATGTGTTATCATGACGTCATGACGATGTATCTGCATCTGTGTTGCAACATTCGTTGCTTTCTTCCTGATTACCGTCTTCACTGATTAAACCGAGTTGTTGGACTCCGGAACTGCCCTGTTTGCGCCACTTCCGGAACTTGGCTAGGTCTTTACGGGTTACCATGCCGACCGCTTTGTTATTCTCGTTTACTATTACAAGATGCCTGTGAGAAGTGATAAGTGATTATCGCTGTTGAGAAGAGTAAAATACATTGGGTAAACTCAAGCGACACAAACAGCATGAAGATATTATACATTATGATGCTGTAAAGTTTTTGGGCAGGTGCAGTTGGAAATGAGATTTTTTGACCGATTAAAATAAATGAAGATATGGACATTCTTGCCGAAGACTATTAAAAAGTCACCATAATTAAGTGAGAACAATAAATCTGACCTGAGTCCCATACTCCTGAAGAGGTTAAAGAGTCTGGCGAAGGAGACGGACTCGTTACAGGTATACGGTGAAAGGTTTATAAATTGCCGGAGATCTATCTTCATCTTCATGTGTTCTTGGGGGATATCAATATCCTGTGGTACAGGTAATTGCCAGGTTTTAGATTATAACTATAGGTATAATTAGTTCGGGGCTTCCATTTGGATCCAATTAAAAGAAATTCAAGATTGAAATGGTACCAAACTGTGACAACTGATTATTCGTTAAATTTAAAATTATCCTCAGTACTCAGCTTATCATTTAAACTTACCTCAATCTCAGGGTATCTTGGATACATATCTCTAAAGTCATTGACTGAAATGTCTCCACACTGTTCCATAGTGCGTTCATTAAAATACGCCTGAAAAAATGTTTTTATTGTATGTGATTATAGCCACACCAATAAATGTATCTTCCATTGCAATTCGTGTGGTAAGTTTCTGAACGCGATTTACTACCTCCTTAACTTCAAATTTCAGGTAAGATTAAAGAAGTTACGTCCTCGAGCACTGGTACTGTGATTTAAATTTCATAATTATATAATTGATGTAATTAAATTTTCGTAAAAAATTGTTCACTTCATAATAAGCATTTTATTGTAAAACGATATTGTTCAAGTTCAGTATAAATTATGAGAATTGTTTTTCAAATAAATCCGCAGCAGCGTAGTTGAGCCTAACTTAAACCCAGAACCCCACATGCAGAAAGACAGCAGATCGGCAGATAATCTGCGAGGAAACTAACTTTGGATTTTGTAGGAAATTTTTTATAAGATCTGACCTTTTTTTACGGCTTAAGGAATTTCTTAGGGGCGATTGCGAGGAAATTAACGACTTTCTGGATGCAGAACTTAAACTCTAAAACAGTCTTTCACACATTTATTTTCTTTTTTTAAACAATGAATTAAAGGAGGCTGATGTTTGGTGTAATCAATGGTCGAGAGCAACATTAACATGATCCGCACACAATAACCTTAAGAAATCAATAGATCTGGATTAAGACGATAAGGTGAACCATATCTGTTTTTTACACGTGACAGTGATTCTTGGTTTTGATTGGTCGACGCTGAAAGCTGATTGGTTAATCTCCTTTGCGCGCGTGACAGATTGCAGATTAGCTGATGAACGGGATCGAAATTGGTATAAAACAATTTTAGATCGCCTATCCGTACTTGTCAACAAGTGTAAACTATTAGGGAAAGCCTTGACCGGATCAGTCAAGAATATTATCATTATTCTAATTACAAGTAAATTGTAAACTTCAGTAAACATCTCGGTCTCCAAGCAATTGGATCTCAAACGAAGCTATTACTCGTTTATTGATAATTGTCCTAATCGATCTTTTTAAACATCGACGAAGGGAACGCTTCATCCGTATCGACAGCTAGCATGATGTCATAAAAGCATAAATAGATGATTTTAAAACCATAATTTGAAAATAGACACGGTCAATTTTGACATCTATTTTGCTTCCAACGCGTTGTTGGGGGTCGTTCACATATTAGTATTACGTAATCACTTTTTGGCCAATTTTTAACGCAACCTCCCCCTCCGTAATCTGTTTTACGGGCGTACAACAGTTTGTCGACAACAGTCCTGCGACAAAACTGTGATTGTGTTTAAATTACACTAGCATAATCATTTAGAACCCCCCTCAGTGATTAGGTAATTTGTAAACGACCTCTTAGCTGTACCAAGTCACCTTTAGGATCAGGATGATCAACAGTGAATCCACTGTTGTAATAAGTAGTCATACCGACTAGTTACACAAGTATCTGAATATGAACCTTTTAGTTAGGCTCTAAGTAACAATAGCTTTACAGAGCACACACGTGCAAGTCGCCAAACTCAGCTTAGGTAAATCCTGCTCTCATGGCTTTGGAGATTGTTGAATTGACTACATAAGCTGATTGGTTGATTTGAATTTTGACTACTATAGCTGCAAGGGTGGCCCTCGGGTCTTTAAAACAAATCTGCGGAATAAACCGGCTCATGTCAGTGGACAATTCTTACCTGGCTATGTCTATAGCCTATAGACATTGAACGATAGTTTCGAATTTTCTGGATACAGCCATATCGCTGGTCTGTCAGAAACTGTTGTACGTCGCCGCCCGACAACTGTGCTCTAAGTTTGCCTTTTCCTGAAATTACTATCGAAGCATCATGTTATATACACATGGGAGTAGGCATGTGCCAGCTGGTGGTTTTGGTTGTCAATATCCGAGGCACTTTTTGGCCGAAATTCCCCTCTTAGTCCTTGCTTGGCCCATCATTCTTCCATGATTTTCCGATTTACAAAATTATATATAGTTATACATTTTGATATAGTCTTTTTGTGGTAAAATTATCACTAATTCGCAACATTAAACACTAGACTAGCAGAAGTGTATAATAGGGACAAAGATTCTGATTACTGATCTGAACCGACTCTGTAAGTTAAACTTTCAGCAGTCTTTCAAACAGTTACTTAACTGAATAGACGACTTTTACCAACGAGGACGTTAAATTATATTGCAGTCAATTTGCAAGTGTTGAAACACCATGTCGTGACCTATCACTGGGCTAGCGCGGGCTGGGATGTTACAGTTATGTTACAGAGTTGAGTGCATGTTCCTTGACAATGTCCGTCATGTGGCGTGTTATGTGCCATGGGTTGCGACTTTTGTTTGGTTTTTAAATGTGACTATTTATCGTGTGTCACGTCAGCTCATTCGGGGAGTAAATCTCGGTTTCAGTGTTATTAAGTACTGCAGTGTTTTCTGATGTCTTTTCGAATTCTCGTTAAGTTTTGTATTGCACATACTTGCAAATCACAAATCAAGTACCTATAGTGTCTTAGAATTTCAAAATATGAAGGGACTTCCTTCGGTATAGTCTATGAATTGTGGTAAGTACACCAAAGTTCAAAATTACCCCTTTCACAAATTTCAATATTTTCCAAACCTTCGTTTACTCAGTAGATATCACATACCTTTTTGATGAGTAGCAGTATAAGTTGTTCCCTCGTGATAAGACCCATAAACTGCCCAAAGTGCTTTGCATCAGGATCAACCGGCACCTGTAGTGAGGTGGCGGTTAGATGACAATATCATTAACACCTACCAGTGAAGTTGTGGTGATCTTGGTGGTCACTGTTCACCACCAGGTTCGATTATCAGTTCAGCCCTCGGTAAGGTCAGCCAATCAAAATACAAATATAAATCAATCCAATCATTACCAGACCACGTTTAACCGTTGCTACGATAGTCATAGATAATACGTTTATCAAAGTATGCTTAGACTTCTTAGCGTTTCGAGTAGAAATACCGTAAGGCCCTGGCCCTCTGGCTCTATCATTATAATTAGAAATATCAACCACCAACTCTTAATGGTAGCACGATAAGATTTAGTAATCTATATATATATAATATAGTAATCATGTTATTAGCTTTCTAGATAGCTATTTCTTTAATATGATCGAATGCTAGGAACCATACTTCACCCAAGTGCTCGTTCACAGCATCACTACTAACAAAGATATACCACGTGATTTGATGATTATATTTCAGTATCTCCAATCTCGCTCAGATTACTCTGGATACCGTTTATAAATAAATGTACAACACACTAGCATAGTTCAAATATCCCTGCACGGTTACCCCCGCGGTTCCAATATCACTATTTTTAAGCGGCTGATTTTCAGCGGTTTTGGATGAAAGTCGAGTTTCAAAGTTTCATTGAACATACACCGCATACAAATGAATTGGTGACCCTAAGAAACTGTGAAGCCGTTACTAAACCACATAGTCATTAGCCAGACATACATAGTCATTAGTCAGACATGCATAGTCATTAGCCAGACATACATAGTCATTAGCCAGACATACATAGTCATTAGCCAGACATACATAGTCATTAGCCAGACATACATAGTCATTAGCCAGACATACATAGTCATTAGCCAGACATACATAGTCATTAGCCAGACATACATAGTCATTAGCCAGACATAAATAGTCATTAGCCAGACACACATAGTCATTAGCCAGACATACATAGTCATTAGCCAGACATACATAGTCATTAGCCAGACATACATAGTCATTAGCCAGACATACATAGTCATTAGCCAGACATACATAGTCATTAGCCAGACTACATTTCAAATTGCCAACCCAAACAATGGAATAATCATTTGAACATACCACCGTGTCTAAATTCTGAAAGTGGCTAACTTGCAAGTTGTAACGTGACTAAAGTGTGTAGATTTCAAGATATTCTATTGTAATTAGATGATATTATATTTTATTATAATTTAGCTTCATGTTAACCTGTGTTACGACAGGGAAGCCGTTGTGAGAAGTTCGTTTCAACATTTTGACCACAGCTTCAACAGACTCTATCGCTTTGAAACACTTGACGGGCGTACTCTTTATGTTACCAGCTGAAGAAATTGTAGGGTTAAGTTATTAAGTTATTAATAGGAAACAGGAATAGACTGTGAGAGTTTTGCTTCTCGATATCGGGTCTTTTGACTGAATTTGGTTTATTGCAGCCATACGAGCAAAAAGTTTTGTTTTCGAAACCCGACAAAAGAAGGCTGAAGGGGATATCTCGGTAAATATAGGGTGAAAAGCACCGGAATCTACAATTTACATTCAACACCCATCAACAGATTTCAGTATATAGATATGCAACTGTCTTCACTATGTTACAAACTATAGCATACTCATCGCCGCCCTAAAATAGTGATTAAAACACATATTTTCCGTGGCTTTTTTTATTCACGTACTTTAAAGAAACCCCTAATATGCGCGCATTGCACGTGCATATTAGGGGTCTCGTATTGCACGTGGGTGTTAAAGGTATTTAGAAAATTTGCCTTTACGTCGAACCATGACGACATCTTATTATTTATCAATAGACAGATTGTTAAAGTTGGCAGTTACATTAATTATATAACTGAGCTCTGGCAAAGTGGCAACTGAAAAAATTGTATTATATTATGTTTATGGTTGTAAAATATTTGTTATGACATTAAGTCTGTTGCAACCTGCAGGGGTCCTAACAAAATTTTAGCTTGGAGGATGAATTTTAGTCATCTTTATTTTCGTTCCGTAGATACTCAGCTGATCAAGTGTAACTATAATTGAGCAGGCGTATCTACCATACCAAACTGCAGATTCCTTAAATTTTTGTTTCATTTTGAAATTTATATTAAGAAGCGACAGAATAATTCACGTATAGAGGCTACATCCTCAAACCAAGGCTCTGATTTCATTACTTTGCTTTACTTTGTTAATAGTACTACTACTATAGTACTATTTTTACAGTATGCACTGAAGGAGTATCCTAGGAAGTTTCTTGAACTTTTACCAGGTACCCCTCCTCATTTAACCCTCAATTAAGTTTCCTATCATTCAGCTGAGTCGACCGAGGAGATCGCATAGATCCAATGGATCCTTAGCTACTCCCTAGACTAGGTGACACTTACTTTTACTATTGAAATGTGTTTTGCTCTCACGTGCAAATATTTCTCTAATCTCCATATCATAAGTTATTTGCGAGTTCCAATTTGAGAAGAATTGTTTTATTTTAGAAATATAAAGCTGTCTGGGAAGAATAATGATAAGGTTATTATATATTATTATATATTGTTCTAGGCTGTCTGACGTCTGTTCAATATTGGACAAGTTCAATATTGGACAAGTGCATATCTGTGTTATAAATCAAGAGGCTTGCATATAATGAACATATTGACACGGGTGCAGAGTTGAGTCTGTACGGAACCTATTAGTTTCAGATCCTTGTTTAACTTGCCGTACAGCAAGGTCATCCACTACTTTAGCCCGGCGAGGCACATAACTCCCTCTACAACTCCATATCAAATGTTTCATATTATATACTAGCCAAGTTCACAAGATATATCCTTGTGTTTGAGAAGAGCTCGTTAGAACTGCTTCCTTTCCCTTCAGTATTATGTTACGAATTATATTCTAAAAGTTCACATTTATAATGATATCCTGTAATCCCTTTTTAAGCACAATTTTAGATATTGCATGGACGGTATCTTATAAATCTAAATTGAGAAATTGGTTACTTACAGTCAGTGGAACCACTCTGACATCGCCAGTCCGTATTCTCGAAGTCTACAGTCCATTTGGGCGAGAAAAATACTTTGTTTCATTTCATTTTATTTCATATCTCTAGTATTACTATTAGCCATTAAGACAATTATCTATTCTCTAATTAAATGTCAATTAAATTAATGAAGCTCTTAAAGCTCATTTATCGACTGTAACCAATCATCAATAAGTTATCGCAATAACCCTGGAATCAACCAAATCGTACAATATTATAACTGAAATTTCTGACGGTTCAAGACGAGATTGGTCACAGTTCGAGAAGAATGTATTCTTTCCATTCTTGTATTGTTATGATGTCGAGACCATGACAGTTAATAATAAAGGAGTTGACTGTAAGCTATGTGAACCACAAATTGATCACCGTGAGCATGTAAATAATTGTATTCTTGAATTGTTATGACAAAAAGTGCTCTTGTTTGTCCGTTACAGACAAAGTGTATGCTCGGTAAAATGTTAATCTGTCAGTTAATTCCGGATGTTTTGCAGAATTTTCGTTCGATATCTTGTTTGATAGCTTTGTAATTGTTTGATAAATTTCTGCTCGACGATATTTCGGTATCTCCGAATTTTCTTTGCTGGATTTTTTGCCAAATAAGATCGTAGGGCTTCACGCGTCAAAACTTTAGACGTAAAACTGAACATTCCAGTACTAGTATCGTTTGTTTTCGTAATAGTCAAAATATTTGTGTAGCATGTGATGTTTTGCCTTGCTTTCTAAATTTAAGCACGATGAAAACCGCCATATGCCAGAGTAAAAGTTCGAGCTTTTACTTTCGACAATGGATCTGGGTACTGGTGGAGAGGTGAACCATATTCGTTTTGATACATCACAGTAATCCTGGAATTTGACTGGGATATACTGGACGATGATTTGTTAATGGCTGGTCTCGTCTGCGAATATTTGTGTATCTTAGTGTGACCAACATGAGGTTGCTCTTGCTTTTCTATAAATCCTTAAACCTTCCTTATAACTTATCGGCCCTAATTTGGATGGCCCTTATTTGAGCAATTCGCCAATACAACACTAGACACAGGATATTGATAGTGTTAGATGTACTGATCAGTGTCACTGACATCACCACCTACAAGTCTTATATTGTCAGAGCAGAAACTGTCGGTTGTTGTATAGTTGGGATTTAACCGGAGGTCGAGCTTAGTGCTGATGGTTACCGGAGGTCGAGCTTAGTGCTGATGGTTACCGGAGGTCAAGCTTAGTGCTGATGGTTGCAATTCTTATATTGTAACAATGTTACAATATAAATAGTAATTTCAACAGTAGCTAATTCGTACTACCCCGTGCAGGTTTTCAGTAATCAGATTTCAAATGAGCTGTAATTTCTATAATATTCCAGTCTCTTTTTTCAGATTGTTCATCGGTACTTTCAGTCTGGCTCAAGTCGAGCTGGGAAATCTTTCCGTCAAATTGAATTTAGACTATGCAAAATTATACAAAATTTTACAAAAATATGGGTCCGATTGCAAATCTCACCTCCCCTCCTCCATCAGGTGGCATATCTGTTTCATCGACATGCGACAAAAAAATTCTCTCCTTCTGCAGAAAGAATTCTGGTCACTACCGCTGCAATGAATCAAGTCTTCAATTAAATATAAGTGGTGAAATAAAACAAGTCTCTGCGCTACAAACAAGCTTTATTGTGAAGCAATAATATATATATTAGATTTATGTTTTTGATTGTCATCAGAATCGTTTTTTTAATCCTTCTTTTCTCTAATGTCAACAAAGACATGATAAAATGTACCGTTAGATAATTGGAATTTTGCATGGCTAGACAGACGATAATCGCACGAAATGTTCCTAGTTTATGGTATTTGTAATGGTAGATTGCTTGTTAGAACGAGCTTCAGTTTGTTTAACCTTATGGGACGTTATTTGACCGGACATTTCGTGAACGGACATAATTTTGAACTGACATTAAAATGAACGCTCGAAGGCATTCAAAACCATCAATTTTCATACAGTAAGCAAGAAAAGCAGTCATTAAGCTGTAAAAATGTTGATATTCATATAATTTAGTCCGATGATAGAAATTAAAATTTACCGAAATTAAAAAGTAGTCATATCCTGGACAATAAATTCGTAGTGGAATACTTTTGAGAACAAATTTCAACGGACTGAAAGTGAGTTTAAATCCAGTCTATTGTTGTTTTTAATAAAAATTCACGGTATTCCCAAAAACCAAACCATGACTTACAATTAAATGGTGTTACCTGGTATATAATGGTGTTACTTTGTATATAATGGTGTTACCTGGTATATAATGGTGTTACCTGGTATATAATGGTGTTACTTTGTATATAATGGTGTTACCTGGTATATAATGGTGTTACCTGGTATATAATGGTGTTACTTGGTATATTATGGTGTTACCTGGTATATAATGGTGTTACCTGGTATAAAATGATGTTACTTGGTATGTAATGGTGTTACTTGGTATATGGTGGTGTTACTTGGTATATGGCGGTGTTACTTGGTATATAATGGTGTTACTTGGTATGTAATGGTGTTACTTTGTATATAATGGTGTTACCTGGTATATAATGGTGTTACTTTGTATATAATGGTGTTACCTGGTATATAATGGTGTTACCTGGTATATAATGGTGTTACTTTGTATATAATGGTGTTACCTGGTATATAATGGTGTTACCTGGTATATAATGGTGTTACTTTGTATATAATGGTGTTACCTGGTATATAATGGTGTTACCTGGTATATAATGGTGTTACCTGGTATATAATGGTGTTACCTGGTATATAATGGTGTTACTTGGTATATAATGGTGTTACCTGGTATATAATGGTGTTACCTGGTATAAAATGATGTTACTTGGTATGTAATGGTGTTACTTGGTATATGGTGGTGTTACTTGGTATATGGCGGTGTTACTTGGTATATAATGGTGTTACTTGGTATATAATGGTGTTACTTTGTATATAATGGTGTTACCTGGTATATAATGGTGTTACTTTGTATATAATGGTGTTACCTGGTATATAATGGTGTTACCTGGTATATAATGGTGTTACTTTGTATATAATGGTGTTACCTGGTATATAATGGTGTTACCTGGTATATAATGGTGTTAACTGGTATATAATGGTGTTACCTGATATATAATGGTGTTACTTTGTATATAATGGTGTTACCTGGTATATAATGGTGTTACCTGGTATATAATGGTGTTACTTTGTATATAATGGTGTTACCTGGTATATAATGGTGTTACCTGGTATATAATGGTGTTACCTGGTATATAATGGTGTTACCTGGTATAT